CAACTCATTTTTTCACCACCAAAATCTGGAAATTTCCCTGCATAAAGAAGATATAATGTTTGCAGGAACTCTGAAACAAGACATAACAAAGGTAGGTATAGCACTAAGAATAGATTTGATAAGTGTTTCTCTGCCTGCCTCACTCAAAAACACATTTTTCCAACTCTCAAGTTTTTTTTCACTCTCTCCAAAAGAAAATGAAAGATTTCCCTTTTAGTTTTCCCAATCCCTAATGGAAGACCTAGGTATCTAGAGGAAGAAACCTTGGTGATCCCATTGAGAATGTTGCAAATATCATACTGTCTCCTCACTAGGGTATTCTTAGAAAAGAAAATTGAGGATTTGTCCAAGTTGACAAGTTGCCCCGAGTCATTACCATAATTGTTAAGGATATTAAGGACTTTGACAGCATGATGTGTATCAACTCTGCAAAATAGGATAGTCATATGCAAACAGTAAGTGAGAAATGATAGGGGCATGAGGACCTAATTTAAAACCCTTATAACTACCACTAATACAAGCATGCTTGATAAGATTAGAAAAAGCTTATGAGATTAACAAAAAGAGGTAGGGAGATAAAGGGTCTACCTGCCTCAACCCTCTAGAAGGTGTCAAAAAACCCAAAGGCTGACCATGGACATTAAAAGAAAAAGAAGTAGAGATCCTACACAAGATAAAAGCCAATTCACCACTTTCTGACAAAAACCCATATGCCTACAAATCCTAGCTAGAAAAGACCACTTTACTCGGTCATAAGTCTTTGCCATATCAAGTTTGATTGCCATCAGACAATTATTCCCCTTTCTTTTGTTGTTGAGCATATATGAATACACTCATTAGCAATGACAATGTTGTCAGTGATTCGTCTCTAGGGTATAAAGGTTGTCTGGTTCTGAGATATACAAGAAGGCAGAACCATTTTAATCAAGTTGGCAAGAACTTTAGCTACAACCTTATAAACCACTAAGCACATGCTGATAGGTCTGAAGTCGGACACTAACTGGGAATTCTTCTTCTTAGGGATTAATGTAATAACAGTGTGATTAAGCCCTTTAGGCATTTTGCCACTTTGGAAAAAATTTCTGATGGCCTGCCAAAAGGTTGATTTGATGACTGGCAATGCCTTCTGATAAAACAAGACAGTCATCCATCATTACCAGGAGCCTTACATTGATCCATTTCCAAAAGGGCCGTGTGAATCTCTTCTTCTCCAATATCCCTAGTTAAAGTTGCTCTAAGTTTTATAGTATGCGAAGTCATCTCAATTGGTGGCAACCACATAAAATTAAAATCGAAAATGCACTATACATTATACAAAAAGAGAAAAGGGAGAAGAATGAATAATGAATATTGTCGTAATATGTTATATTATTTTCCGTTTCGCCACAACCTACTAAAATTAGAAATGAGGATTGGTTGGTTCGGACAAAAAATCGAACCGAATAACAAATACCTAATACCATAACAAACTGAAATTGAACCAATAAAGTATTTAAAACCAAACTACAACCGAACCGAAACTATCAGTTCGATTCGATTTTGCAAATCAATTGGACCATTGTATTAAGCTATTAAGCCAATCCCATTGTGCTGCTGTTAACGAGTAATAAAATTAGGACAAAATGTAATTAAAGTGAGCAAGAAAAATGCATGATATGTTTTAATGTTCTACAAAACAAGTAACAATAGTCACCAACATAGTACACATACATTCTAAAACATCATTAATCCATTATCATCACAGGCACAGTCCATTGGTCCACGGAATGACAAGCATAAAGTAGCTTAGAAAACACAGGATATTAAAAACATAATCACCCCTCCATTCATGAAGTACTACCAGATAAATTTATAAAACATGCTCCACAGTCGCCAAGAGCTTAGAGCTCTGTCTTTTTACATCGTATAATTTAAAAGAGACGACAGATGAAACAAGGCCGAGAGCACACAAAAATGGAAATGATATAGCAACACTGCACTTGTATCCATTTTCTTCACCTGCACATCAACTCAAACACAAGTTGTCCTTTACCTGTTTAAAACTCAAGTTACACAAAAACAATCCTTCGAAGAAGCTGACCAAGGAAACAAAAAACAGGCGAGCATACCGACAATGATAAGAGTAGGCCATTACTGCCGAACCACGTGTTGGGTAAACAAAAACATTAAGACCTCATATATATGACATAATAAATCCAGAATCCTTAAAAAATAATTATGATGCAATTTGGGGTACTGTAGATTTTCACATCTTAATATGATGGTCCATACATTAACAGAGAATACAGGTAAGACAACGAAGGCTATTGCATAATAATAGAAACTAACTACAAAACAAAAACACAATCATACGTAGCTGTAATGTTTGATGTTTTGCAGGCTATGAAGATGAAAACCCCTTTTTGCAGAGGTATAAACGTTGCAATGAGCTAAACTCACCCACCGGTAGCCATTGAATTTCAATTCTCTAGAATCAACCAGCCTGCTGTCCAGATTAACAGTGCTCTGTATACGCAAATGTCTGACCGGATGGTTCCAAACTTCCTGCTTGCAAACATCGCAGATCTTGCTCCATCAAACAAATCCGGAAAACGGCTTCCTCTTCCGGTATATCTTCACATCCGCCTTACTGTGTTCTAAAAGAAACAAAAAATAATATTAAAACAGTACTTTCTTTTGAGAAAAATAAGAGGAAATGGATAAACGACAACGACTTTGGTTAGTGGCGTACACACTGCTATATCTATGCAATAAAGCAATTGGCAAGCTTCTAGATTTCAAAAGATTGTAAAAAACTACCACCATCTCCCTTTGTAACCACTGGCCCTTCCCCCAGGGAGTCGGAATATATCATACAGAAACAAATTCGTCCTTTGGATACCCATTACTTTCCTCAAAATGGGAACAAAGGGGCATTGAAAGCGATTGCGAAAGATGGCACACTTGCTTTTTCTACAAGAAAATATTATGACCTTCACATTATAAGTACTTCTTCTTTTTTTTTTTCTCGGTTTTAAACAGAAACATCCCAGTGATTCCACTTACCATGGAAATACGGCATCGAGATAGAATCCCACAAAGTAATCAACTTTTCACCCAAACGATCAATCGCATATATTAAAAAAGGAAAGAGTATAGGAACTTACACTAACAAGACTCTTCGAAAATCCACCGTGATTAGTCTCGGGGTTTGTGTGCACAAACAGAAATGATGAAGCCTTCTTCATCCTTGGTGTAAAAATTCTAAATCCAAATTGCTAAAATGACTCCGGAAGATCTTGGGAATACCCAATTCGACCCAATTCGACCCAATTCCATCAATGGCAAAAATTTCTCCAGCCCACAATTATGCCACGGCTCTGAGGCGGCTGATGGGTCTAGTGGCTTCTCGATCAACAACGGTGAGAGTGCGAGGGGTCAAGGATTATGCGGTGCAGTAGGGTTCTGTAAAGAGAATGAGAGAAGTGGGCTCGTTTTCGTCATGTCCTTAACAGGTTGCCACATGTCGCTTTAAGAATGCCTCGCCTATATCTTAAGTATGAGAGCGATATATTTTTATTTCTTTGTTATGATTGCTGAATTAAGTAATTCTACGCAGAACAACAGCAGAGGTTCAAACCAAACTTGTACAGTTGTACAAAAATATACGATTCACAGTTCTAAAACCTAATGCTTGCGAAAACCTACCAAAAAAGAACCTAAATTGTATTGGCTGTGTCCGCACAGGGTTAGGATAATTGCTATACCATTAACATATCAAATAAATTCAAGATGCGTCATATTAGTGACTGTGATAGATTCTCAATTAACAACCCACAAAAGGTAAATATCAAATATGGTTGAAGTAACAGAAATATAAATTCAAAAGGGGAAACAACTATTGAAGAATAGCAACCAACCCAGAGTGGCTGAGTCATTTTTCGGATACTACATATTTATAAATATAACAAGAAAAAGCACACAAAGAATAACATGTAATATGGTCCAATATATATCTAAATTTCCATGCATCGATGATGAATGTACGCACTTGGCCATGGGCAGTAACATATAGTTACAAAGACACTCCCTTGTCTTTCTACTTTCATGTACGTAACTTAAAATCCTAGATAACTTCAAATGAGTATTTCAGAAGTTTTTCTCAGAAGATTGACATAAAGGTTAACAATTTTCAGTTTTTAATATATTCGTCCACACTACAAACTGTGTGATGCTAATTAAAAAAGAAATGAAACAAAGGGTAATCTGAGGGCATCCAGAAAGGTCAATATTTGGTTCCTAAAACCATCGCCCAGGAGTGATTCTAATCTGATTCATTATGTCAGTAAAAATATAAAGAGTAATTCATAGCATACTTACATTTCTGCATAATAGCAAAAGAATCTGAGGATGTAAACCGGATATCGCATTCTCACACTACCACAACGCCTTACAGAACAAACTCAAACTCAGGTGCATAGCCAAAGAGCTTAAGCTGCAATTCTAACATATCCAGGACCACATAAATCTGTTCCAATGCAGGGTGATAATTATCACAAGCTGCAAACTGATGCATTTCCCTTCCAACCTCAATCCAGCTCGACCCGGGTGAGACCTTCTCCACTCCAAGTTCCCTGATGGTCGCCCGAACCTTCGCCACCTCACCCCATCTACCAGCCTCGGCATGCATGTTAACCAAGAGGCTGTAATAACCACTGTTACATGGCTCCAGAATCACCAACCTCTCCAAGGCGACTCGTGCAATATCTAAATTCTTGTGAATCTTGCAGCCACCCAACAAGGAACCCCAAATTATGGAATTCGGCTCCATCCTCATGCTTTGTATCAAGACAAGTGCCTCTTCAAGTAACCCAGCTCTGCATAAAAGGTCGACCATGCACCCGTAATGCTCGATTTCAGGAGGGATGCAATATTCGTTCGTCATCTGGTGGAATATCCTCTTACCTTCCTCAACCAAACCCGCGTGCACACAGGCCGCAAGAACACTCACGAACACGACTCCATTCAGCTCGATTTTATCCGTCTCTATCTTTTCAAACATATACAGTGCCTCCAGTGCGTGCCCGTGCAAAGCAAGGCCATCGATAATCGAGCTCCAGCAAAAGAGATTCTTTTCCTGTAATTTGAAAAAAACGACGAGCGCCCTCTCCAACATCCCGCACTTGGAGTACATGTCAATCAATGCCGACCCAACATACACGTCGAAATTCAAATTTTCCCGGGCGGCATACAAATGCATCTCCATCCCTCTCTGTGAAGCCCCGAGATGAGCACAGGCGGATATGATGGTTGCCATGGTCGACTCGTCTGGCCTTATCCCGGCACTCCACATCTCGTCAAAAAGGCTCATGGCTCTTTCGTGCAGCCCGCTTTTGCTGTAGCAGTCAATCATGGTCGTCCAGGTTATCACATCCTTGTTGCTAATCTCTCTGAACACGGCCTCTGCGGACCCCACGTCCCCGGCAACTGCATAACCATGGAGCACGACGTTCCAGGCAGCAGCAGCCGTGCCCGGCAACTCGGGCATGACTTCAAGCAGTCTCCTCGCGGATCCAAGGTCGCCTGCACGGACGTGTGCAGAAATCATGGCCGACCACGCGAATCCATCTCTTTCGGACATTTCGTCAAACATCTTCAGCGAATCCATAATACTGCCCGAGGCTGAGTACAAGTCAACGAAGGCGGTCTGGATGTGGATCCGCAGGCCCAGCCCGTTCTTCAAAGACTGACTGTGGACGCACCGGCCGAGCCCGAAGGAGGAAGAGACCCGACAACTCTTGATGACGGCGGGGAAGGTATAGCTGCTTGGGGGAACGCCTTGTCTGAGCATGACCCTGTAGTGGCGGAGGGCGTCGAGCGGGCGGGAGCAGGTGAGGGAGGTGCCGATGATGGCGTTGTAGGCGAAGGCGTTGGGTTGGAACATCCGAGAGAAGGCGAAGACGGCCGAGTCGAGGGCGTGGAAGGCGGAGCAGGCGGTGATGTACTGATTCATCAAGAAGGAGTCTTGGGCGGTGTTGTTCTTGAGGAAGAGGGCGTACCATGATTCGAGTTCCTTGAGGACCGCGCATCTCTTGAGGTTGTCGGCTATTTGTTTGAATGTGGATTGGGCATGACACTGCTGCATAGGACTTACTGCGGACTGCGGAGTTCAAACCAGGGAAGTGTGTTTCGAGATCATCTAGGGGCCTGGGTGAGTGGTTTTATGATGAATATTGGCTACTGTTCCATTATTGGTGCCGAATTGTGGGGGTTATTTCAGGGATTGCACTTAGCTTGGGAGATAGGGGCCCGCCACATTGTGGTGGACGTTGATAATCGGAGTATTATTTCGATGGTCCAAGCGGAGGACACTTCTAGCCCGCATGGGAATATTCTGCGTGGGATACAGGACCTTTTAGATCGGCCATGGACGGCGGATATTTGTCATGGCTATCGTGAAACGAATTGTGTTGCGGATTACCTCGCGTCTTTGGCGGCAAGGGGGCCTGTGGGCATGCATAGATTTGATCGACCGCCGGATGGGATTGGGTATTGGCTTCAGCATGATCTGGCCGGTGTTTCGCATCTCCGGCACATAGTAACTTAAAGTATTCCTAGGCTTTGTCCTCCTTTATTGTACCAAAAAAAAAGTTCTAAAAATCGAACCGATTATCGAACGGTGAAGCTACCGGTTTAATGGTTCACAGGTTAAACCAGTGGTCGAACTGGTTGAACCGTTCTAGTTAATATATAATTTTTATCTGTTTTATATTTATAACTAGTACAACGCCCATGTATTACACGGGTGATTGCTAATTTTTTCTTAAAATTTAAAATTAATGAGAAAAGATAGTTTAAAATTTAAATACCTTTTATAAAAATATATATATATTATTATATATTTAGTATGACACTTTTTAATTGTGCAACTTACATGTATTATAGTATAATAATTTTTTTAACTTACAACATATAACTACATTAAGCATAAATATACCAATTGAGAAATAATTTTATTTTTCTAATGAATTTTAATAAATATTATTATTTTTTATTATTATAAATATAAATATAATTTATTTATTTCATATATACAATATGGATGTCAAATCGAAGATCATCAAAAGATGATTAATTTAATATATTTTATATGTAAAACCGATACGAAATACAGAAGTTATCGACTTTTAAAATACATTTATAATTCAATAGCTAATTGAAGGAAACAAATCAAAAGTCAGGGATATATTAGTCATTTAGTGCCTCAGTATGTAAAATTACAAAGAAATAAATGGTTATATTAGTACAATGATATTAAAATACCTAAGTTAGCTAAATAATATTTATGGAATGTCCAAACCTAAATTATTAATTATTAATATATCAACATTATCTATATATATAAACACAGATTTACCATTTTTTAAAAATAGCAAGTCAACTTTCTGGTCAATTTCGGACACATTAATTAGTTTCCATTATTAGAATTTTTTAATTACTTAACACTTAATTAAATTGATATGTCTAATATTGTTATTAGGATAATATATAGAAACAAATCATCCCTTAATTAAAGGGATTTAGTATTCAAAAATACACACTATCCTATCCTTAAACGTTTTGTGTGTTTAAACTTTAAAGAGACAACAAAATAAACACAATAATAGCTTAAATATACTCACGTTTCAGAAATCATAGCATTTTGTTTTTTTTTTTTAGTTTGTATATATCCGTAATTGTTATGGATAATTAATGTATAAATCGAATATACAGCGTAATAACTTTTGCAAATGGAGAAATAAATCGTCAACAAAAAAATTATTTCTTTTAATTGTTATGTGATAAGCATGATCTTTTTTGTTTGGCCAAATCAAACTTTTTTTTTTCAATTTTAAATATGTCATACAAATTTTCAAACCAATTTGAATTTAAATTA